CTGAGGGACCGGGACCGGGACCGGGCTGGGAGGGATGTCTGAGGGACCGGGACCGGGACCGGGCTGGGAGGGATGTCTGAGGGACCGGGACCGGGACCGGGCTGGGAGGGATGTCTGAGGGATCGCGGTTCCAGGGCCACGCTCGCTTTACCCGCGGGGGGGATCTGGTGTCGCTGCTGGAGGGGACAGAGCTGCTGCTGCTGCTGCTCCTTCTCCTGCCGGGGGAAACGCTGGGACGGAGCGGTGGCCGGGGCATGGAGGGGGTCGGGCCGAACCCACTGTGCCTCTCACAGCACGTCCTGGGGGCCGGAGGGCTCTGGAGCCGTGTGAGGTCCTCACCTGCAGGGAGCGGTGGAGCCGCGCACATCCCGGCACAGAGCGAGTCCCTGCGTGGGGACAGGACACCGGCACAGGCACAGAACCCTCACGTTCCTCCAGGGGACAGAGTCCCTGCTGTGCTCTGGGGCCCAGGGGGAATCCGGGGACACCGCTCCTCCCTGAGTGCGGATTGCCCGTGGAGTGCGTGGGCACACTCTGGGATCCTCTGCCATCCAAGGCTGGGGAAGTGTAGCCCGTTCTAAAAGCCCGGGACTGACTGGTGTGGGAGGGAAGGTAGCAGCCCCCAGGTGTGCCCCACCAGTTCTGGCAAGAGAGAGAAATTAGCTGGGACTCAACGAGGACCATGGGGATGAGGCACCAGGCTTCTGGAATGCTTTGGTTCTGCCATCCTCTAGGGGACCATACCTAGGTACTGCCATGGGGATGATGTGTCACTGGGGTCTCCAGCTGTGTCTCTGGGGTCTCCAGCTGTGTCTCTGGGGTGTCCAGCTGTGTCTCTGGGGTCTCCAGCTGTGTCTCTGGGGTCTCCAGCTGTGTCTCTGCGGTCTCCAACTGTGTCTCACTTTCACAGCACCGGAGGCCACGTGGACCTCTCTGCACAAGTCAGCAGCTGCTGCTGGTGCTCAGGGAAGGGGCTCTTTCCACAGGGGCAGCTTTCAGGAGAGTCCCAGTCCTGTGTGGTGATGATGACAGTGCTCTGTCACTCCTGCCAGGGGTCACAGGCATCTCCATGTGTCACCATTAGCCAAACTTTCATGTTCTGTATGGAATGGGGCTCACAGAGCCTCCAGTTCCCAGCAGCTGTGCCAGGTAAATCTCACACCCACCAGAGCACGCTCAGCACAGGGCTGTGGGCTGGAAAGGATTTGGGATGGAAGAGCTGTTGTGATGGTCAGGGAACATGGAAATGTCACTTCTTGAGACACAACTTACTTTCCAATGCAAAAGACCAAGAATACAGGAATCTCTGGCAGAAGAACTGACCACGGGTTGCATGCTCTTCTCACAGCCTGGCGATGAGTGTTTAGATTCATGAATGTAATTAATGTAAGTGCAAATTATAATATTTAAGTCTCAGACAGCTTTGTTTTCCAAGCAGACAGTGCAACATGAACTCATGTTTTGCAGTTTGTACCACTGGGAGCTATAGGTGAAAAATCCCCACTGCAATTCTCAGTAAATCAAAAATAAAACCTACAGAGCTGCTGGTAATATGTAAGCCTTTCCAAATCCAGATTTTGAGTTCTAATTAAAAAATGAAAAACAAAATATTAAAACCATTAATTTGGATGTGTCAGAGAGGTGTAGGAAAAGCTGAAACCTGCACGTTGCTGCATCTCTTGGCAGCACAGCTCTCCTGAGGTAGTGCTGATCTTTGGATACACACTGAAACAAGGACAAAGAGCCAGATTTGGTGGAAAACCCTGTCTTGGAGTTCAATTCAGGTTTGGCATTTCTGTGCATGGAAAGCCATTGGTAGGTGGAATTGTCACATTTGTGACTCTAAATCACTTCACAATTCAGAACCCTCACAATTTCAGAATCCCTCTCTTCTGCCAGGTATTGTCTGGGATTTTAAATGTTCAACTCCCAGTGATGAAATCTGCTCTGGATCCAGGGCTTTTGTGGAAAGGGAGGTGGTAAAGCATCATGAGAAAGGCTGGTCAGGAGGGATGGCCATCAGGTTAGCTCAGAGAGGATCAACTTGTCTTGTCTGCAGTACTCACACACTTTGGGATGTCTGTGTGCTAAGGCTTTTCCATCACATTCCCAGCTGCATTTTCTTGGAGGGGTCAATGCAGGAAAAATTTCCAGCTTGAATGTTCCTGTTTCTGTAATGAAGGCTTTCTGTACCGGAGCAGACACAACTAGATGAAGAGCTGTGAGTCTGTAAGGGGGACACACCAGCAGAAAGGTGTTCTCATGTCAGCTGACACATCCTGACAGGACTTTCCCAAGGTCATGGGCTCTAATATGACTCCTGTCAACTTCCCAGAGCCCACATCAGGAGACACTGCTGATGGGTGATGGCAGCAGCAAGGTTTTACCCAGCAGCACAAAAGGAGCTGAGGTTTTGGTCTTTCCATGTTTCCAGCCTCTAGGAACAGCCCGCCTCCAGCTCCCTCCTTCTCCTCTCCATTTGCAGGTTGCTGCCTCCAAAGACCCAGTGGCCAACGCAACCTGCAGCAGTGATGTTGAGTTTGGTTGTGGTTCTGCTGGGAACATGGACCTTGGGGAGTAAGTGTGATTTTGGGGAAGGGAACCCCAGGGGAGATCCTGGGTAGCTGATGCCCCCCAGGGGAATTTCCTCTGACCCACAGAACATCATATCAGAGCAACCTGATCTGGTGGAAGGTGTCTCTGCCCATGGCAGGGTGAATGGAACCAGGTGATGGTTATGGTCCCTTCCAACACAAATTCTATCATTCTATGATGCAGTTTGTGAGGAGATAAGAAAAAATTGGAGCAAAGTGCAGGTTGAGAGGCTGCCCGATGGCAGCTGAGATGAGTGGACAGCTTGTAAGCTGGAACTGGAAGTCCTTGCTAGTATTAGCAAAGTAAAAAGTAAAGTAATAAAAATTAGCACGAAGGAAATAAGGCAGGTGCTGATGCAAAAGTGCCAAGTCTTCCCTTGACTCACATGGACATTGTAGAAGCCAGAAGTAAGGAGAGGTTTCTGATCCAGTGAGAGAGAAGGAGAAAAGGAATGTCTTTTGGGATTAGACTGGTGGTGGCCAAAAATTGATCTGGAGACATCAGGATCACAAGCATGATTTTCTAATTTTAGCTATTGTCCCTCAAAAGGAGAGCAAAACTTGTCTAGAAAACTGCATATTTGGGAAGTTTCAGAAGAAATATGGGAACAGATCACAATGTAACTATAATTCTATAGCGGTGATGCTTGTTTCATGCTTTTTGCTGGCTGCTCATGAAGTGGGTCTTGTCTCTTCCAGGAGCCCAGGAGAGCATCTCGTGGGAGGTACAGCGCTACGATGGCTGGTACAACAACCTGCTGCACCACAGCCACGGCTCCGTGGGTGAGTGTCTGGTCTCGGGCTGGGAACGGAGGGATGGGGCCAGGTGAACTGCCCCTTGGGCATCTGGCTTGTTTTGTGGCTGAGACAGAATCCTTTCTGACCTGAGCCTGAACCAGGCAGGTCAGTGGACAACGGCACCTCCCATGGCCCTCAGTGGTCCCTAAATGCACCTGAGAGCCACGTGGAGCTGTGTGGAGTGGCCAGACAGCCCTTGGCTGGGCAGTGCCACATTTTGCTGCTGCCTAGCACAATCTGCAGGTTATGCTGGATCAGCCCCAGAGCAAAGCTGTGCCTTTGTGAGATCACTCAGAATATCCAAGGCGAGGAGGACCCAGCTCTTTTCAGCAGGTGTTTCTGTGATGTTCAGGGATCCCAGAGCTGCAAAAAATCATCTTTAGCCAAATGCAGCTCAGCCAGGATTCAGCTCAAGGCAGAAGAGTTCATGATCCAGGCATGCTGACCTATTGATTTCCTGCCCTGCAGAGAGCTGATACCATGCACTGCTTGGTACTGGGAGAGGCATTTGGGATTTCCCTGTGCCATTGCTGAACTGTTTCCTCGTGCCTACAGCCAGCCCATAGGCTCAGTTCTAGATGTCCCTGAGCCAGGGACCAGGACAGACCAGGCAGGGTCTTATCGAAAACACCAAAGATTCTGAATCGTCATTTCTGGCAGCCCAGGCTGGTCACCGCTCTGGTGACACACTGGCACAAGCTGCAGGGGCAGCTGCACAGCTTCCTCTCAGTCCAAAGGGCTCTTCCACAGGACAAGTGTGTCACCTGCCTTTGGTAACATCAAAGCCTGACAGGAAAAAACAGCCCTGGCAGATCAGGTCTTCCTCTTCTAGAGCAGACAGATCAGACCATAACTTTTGGAAACCAACATATGGAACCTGAGCCACAAACTAAGGCAGGAATTCAGGCTTTCCCAAAGTTCTGGGGAGCTCCAGTAAGGGGAGCCCACCACACTGGTGACAAGCTTTTTAAAATCAGTGAGAAATGACCTCCTGCCTCTGGGCTTTTCAGTTTCGGGACCAGCAGTGTGTGCAAAATCAGGGTGTTTCTCTCCCATCTTCACACTTGTCTTGCTGCTTCTATGGCTGTTCCCTCTCCTATTCCCTATGGTGCTGGCATTGCTGCCTGGGCATGTGGCCTCTGCAGTTCCTGGCATGGAATTCCTTGCT